TTTGAAGTTATTTTTATTTAATATTTATTTATTTATTTATTTCAGGTTGAATTTTTTATTTTATTTGACTCATACAGCCAAACAACTGTATCTACAGTACATTTGTTATTGCCAATAAAGGTTGTCAAGTTAAATGGCAAGTTGTTGTACGGTCATTTTGTACCTATGATACATTTGGGATGGGGGCCTCCAAATAAAATTTTGCTTAGGGCCCCAATTTGGTCAGGGGCAGCCCTGGCGAGGGGTCAGTGGATTGTTAAATAATTCTGCATTAACATAGCATCACAGCATTCTGTTTTTAATTTTCCTTTTACTAAAATAATACAAAAAAATTACGTATTTTAAACAACAACAATAATAATAATGATAAGAATGTATAGTTCCCAGGTACAATGGATGTTTCATTTTACATGGTGTTTGCACAGAGACTCACACTGACTTATTCAGCAGATGGTTTTGTACCAAGTGATAAATAAATGGGGTACAATCAAAGCTGCAGTAGATCAAGAAGTCTTTGTCAATTAGTGTCTCAATGCTCAATGTTTGACTCCAGCATGATTGCACAGTTAATCAAAAAATATTTTCCAAATTGCAATATGGCCAAGTGCATTATAAAATTTCAGGAGCTGCAATTTTTTGATAAGGTAAAATGTGTCACAACACACCATTATAAATGAAGCATTGTGGAGCTAAAGAGATGTCCCGTCTACAAATCATATTCATGTACAGCAAAAATGACCACTCTTGAAAATTGCAACTTATATCACACTTGCAAATCAATGTCAAAATAATGGCAATATGATTTTTTTTGCAGATTGTGCACCCCTAGACAGAAGATGCACAAGGCTACATGTGCAGGGCCAGCCCAAGCCTCCATGGGGCCCTAAGCAAAATTTGATTTTGGGGCCCTCTATTACTGCCAATAATACTGATTATTGATCATTCACACACCTACTGTAAGTTATTTCATGTTCTACTCTGTCATCACTTGTAAAACTAGATGTGAGAACTTTTTGTTGTAGTTAGATTGTAATCCACAGTGATTAAGGCCTTGGAAGAAGACAACATGTTTTACCCATCTGAAAAATTAGATGGATCTAAGATGAAAAACAACAACAAAAGCTAGTCATGTTCGATGTCATATTACACTTGAAAATTATGCTGCTTATTTTCTAAGTAAAATAGTACAGTTATAGCTTGTAATGAGAAAACAATCTGCCAGTGGAACAACTGAACATTGCTTGAGAAGTTTTGAAATAATATGCATTTGTCTAAAAACATGTCCCTTTTCATATGATTATATCTTACATTAAAAATGATTCATCTCAGAATGTTCTGCAGTACACTGAGCAATTACAAAGGCTGTTTTGTTGTTAACTTACCAGGTAGAGCTGAGGTTGCAGCAGACACAGAGGGGACAGTGGGCACAGAGGATGGAGATGGACCTAAGATGAAAAACATGTCCCTTGTCATATGATTATGTCTTGTCATATTAGTATATCTTAATGAGATAATTTGACCAGAAGTTAAATATATATGGTGACAGTTTTTCCCTCACCTGATTCATTAGCCTTGGCTGAGCCTGAGGAGGTGGACTGCCCCTGGGCTGAGTCAGTGCCTCCTCCAAAATACTTTAACAGTGCTCCTGCGGAAGTTTCATATAACTTATGAGTATAATAGGGAGTTGATGTAAAAGGAATATGTTTATTTACTCAAATAAATTACTATGCTCTGCAGCAAACAATATATCTCAAACTATAAGTTAACGAAGTTAATTCATTAATGCAAAAACATATTGCTAGCAAACTTCACCGTGTCTGTAATTAGTGTTAGTTGTTATTAAACATTTGCTATCAAACGTTGTTATTAAAAACGTTGTTTTGATGCCAAAAAGCGACCCAGAATATATACACGGAGA